ACCATAGGCTCTGGCTCAAATGCTATTTCATTTACCATGGATATGCTAGTTTGTTCTCTTACATATTCTTATTACTACAGAGGCTCATCTACTCACAGATTGTTTATCATTGTGGTTGTTGCAGGATTGTATATGTTATAGCATCCTGTACTTATGCAGCTCTCAGTGTCTTGCTTTGTCTTGATTATGTTGCGCCGACTTCTCCAGTAATGTGTATGTGCATTGCCCTTCCCTTCACCATAATTACCATGACAATACTTCATCACACATATTTTGGGCATATTTTCAGGCCAGTCTTTGGAGAATAGCATCATGCTTGGTAAAGTACAGGGTCAGTGAAAAAGAGGAAGGCACTCAAGAAGGCAAATTAACCCATGGCTGTAAAAAAATGGAGTCGAACACAGCAGCAACTGTGAGGAACTGGCAGGATCGAGCAGTGTTTCCTTCTGTGGGTTGGGGCCAACTCGACAGCACTCCACAGCAGCAGCTCAAAGTCCTTGTCAAGGAGTAAGGACTGGCTCACAGCTGACTATCCAGCAGGTTTGCAGACTGTAATTGCATGGGAGGAGATTGCCCATCATTCTCTCAAGAGCAACTTGAATATTTGAACCATGTATGCCTTTGGGTTGGCAGCAAAACTCCTTTCCACTAGACCACCAAAGCTCCATAACAACTTTTCCCTCCCTGTACTTCCCACTGCTTGGTGCCATCAAAAAATGTTTTTCTCTGTATAAACTTTTTCTTGTTGTTGGTGTTGTTAAGTGGCATCGAGTTGGTTATGACTTATAGCAACACTGTGAACAACACATCTGAACCTTGCCATACCCTCCACCATCCTCACACATCCTGACACAGTAGAGTCCACTGCAACAGTCACTGTGTTAATCCACCTGGTCAAGGGTCTTCTTTCCTTTGCCAACCCTCTACCTTTCTGAGCATCAGATCCCTCTCAAGGAATAGCTCTCCTAGCAACATGCCTAAAGTATGTGAGGATGTGTTGCTCATCATCTTAGCCTCCAAAGAGCACTCTGGCTGCACCCTCTCAAAATAGATCTGTTTTAAAAAAAAGATAGATCTGTTTGTTCTCTTGGCCATCCATGGGATGTTCACTGCTCTTCTCCAACACCATAGCTCAAAGGTAATAGTTCTTATGTAATCCTTTCTCACTGTACAGTTCACAGCTGTGTAGCAAATTATCAGAAAGACTGTGGCCTGAATCAGAACACACCCTAGTCCTCAACCTGATATCATTGTTGTTGTTATGTGCCATCGAGTCGCTTGAGACTCATAGCGACCCTGTGTACAACAGCCCTAAACTCTGCTCTGTCCTGTGCTAATCGCACTGTCTCTGATACACCCATCCTGATTACCCTAGTCACTGAATCAGTCTACCTCATAGAGGGCCTTCCCCTCCTACGCTGTCCCTCCACCCTACCAAGCATGATGTCCCTCTTCAAGGACGGGTCCCTCCTTACAACATGTCCAGAGTATGTCAGATGAAGCCTCAGAATCCTTGCCTCCAAGGAGCCGCCTGGTTTAACCCTCTCCAGGATGAATCTGTTTGGTTTCCTAGCAGCCCATGGTACCCTCAGTACTCTTCTCCAGCACCACAGCTCAAAGCCATCAATTCTCCTTCCATCCTCCTTAATCATTGTCTAATTCTCTGATGCATAACAAGTGATAGCAAAGACCATGGCCTGTATCAGATGCACCTTAGTCTCCAGAGAGACACCATTGCTCTTCAATACTTTGGAGAGGTCCCTAACAGCAGACTTTCCCATGACAGTACACCTTTTAATTTCCTGGCTACTGGTGCCAAGAGTGTCGATGGTGGAGCCAAGCAGACTAAAGCTGTGAACAATCTCAATCTCCTCACCATCCATCCTGATGCTGCTAATTGGTCCAGTGGTGAGAAACTTTGTCTTCTTGACATTGAGCCTCAATCCATATTGAAGGCTGCACTCCTTGACTCTCTGTAGCAAGAGCTTCAGGTCCTCCTCAGTTTCAGCAAGCAGGGTTGTGTCATCTGCATAGTGCAGATTGTTGCTGCATCTTCCACCAATCTTGACACCACACTTCTCCTCATAGAGCCCAGCCTCCCGGATAATCTGTTCTGCATACAGGTAGTCAAGGTATGGAGACAGGACACATCCCTGGCGTACACCCTTTCCAATTTTGAACCATTCAGTGTTTCCTTGCTCTGTTCTGACGACTGCCTCTTGGTCCAAGTATAGGTTTCGTATTAGCAGGATCAAGTGTTCTGGGATTCCCATTCTTCTCAGAATCAGTCACAGTTTGTTATGATCCACACACTCAAACGCCTTTGCATAGTCAATGAAACACAGATATACATTCCTCTGGTATTCCCTGCTTTCAGCTAAGATCCATCTAACATTAGCTACAATATCCCTAATACCATAATCCCTTCTAAACCCAGCCTGGACTTCTGGCAGTTTACTGCTGATGTGTTGTTCCAGTCATTTTTTTATAATCTTCAGTAGAATCTTGCTTGCATGTGAAATTAATGATATTCTATAGTTTGCACACTCTGTTGCGTCACCCTTCTTTGGGATCGGGACAGATACAGATCTCTTCCAGTCAGTTGGCCAAGTGGTTATTCTACAGATTTCTTGGCACACTTGGCGAGCATGTCCAGGGCAGCATCTGTTAGCTGAAATATGCCAATTGGTATACCATCTATTCCTGGGGCCTTATTTTTTCTATTTCCTCCAAAGCAGCCTGACTCTTCAATAATTTTGGAGAGATTCCCTAACCACAGATTTTCTCAGTGCAATTTGTCTCCATATTTCCTGACTGCTGGTACCAAGGGTTACAATGGTAAATCCAAGTAAGAGAAAGTTGTTAACAATTTCAATCTTTTCTCCATCTGTCATGATGTTGCCTATTGGTCTGGTGTTAAGAATCTTTGCTTTCTTGACATTGAGATGCGATCCATATTGAAAGCTGTGTTCGTTGATTTTCTGCAATAAGTGTTTCAAGCCCTCCTCACTTTGAGCAAGCAAGATAGTAGTTGTGTCAAGGTTGCTTAACCCAGGTAATTAATGAGGCTCCCTCTGATCCTAATGCCACATTCCACTTCATAGAGTCCAGTTTCTCGAATAATTTGCTCAAAAAAGAGATTGAATAGGTACGGATAGAGGAGAGAATACAACCCTGACGTACTCCCTTCCTAATTTTAAACCATGTAGTGTTCCCTTGCTCTGTTTGCATTTGCACAGTAGCCTTGTGGTCTAGGTATAGGTTCCACATGAGGACAATTAATTGCCCTAGGTTTCCCATTCTTTTCAGTGTTAGCCATAACTTGTTATGATCCACACAAATGCTTTTGCATAGTCAATAAAGTACAAACAGACATTCTTCTAGTATTCTTTATTTTTCAGGTAGGAACCGTCTGATAGCAGCAATGATAGGCCTGGTATTACAGCCACTTAAATCCTGCTTGAAATTTTGGCATCCAGAAACTTCCTTACCTATGTAATTTTCTGGCCTATCTTCAGCAGTCATTTGCTTGCATGTGATGTTAATGATATTGATCAGTAGTTTCCACATTCTGTTGAATCACTTTTCTTGGGAATGGGAACAAATACGGATCTCTTCCAATCTGCTGGCCAGACAACAGTCTTCCAGATTTGCTGGCATAGACTAGTGAGAGCATCCAAGGCTGCATCTGTTAATTGAAACAGGTTAAAAGTCATCTATTCTTGGGGCCTTACTTTTTTTGCCAATACCTTCAATGCACCTTCCACTTTCTCTGTCATTACCTTTGGTATACGAGTGTATGGTACTTCCTGAAATTTTTCAGTGTCAATCAGTTCTTTTTGGTACAATGATTCTGTGATTCCTCCATCTTTTGATGTTTTCTGGGTCATTCAATATAATGCCCATTGCATCTTTTAATATTGCAACTTGAGACTTAATTTTTTCGGTTCTCTCAGCTTGAGAAATGAGCAAGTTCTTCCCTTTTTACTCTCAAATTCCATCTCTCTGCACATTGCATTATAAACTTTGCTTTGTCTTCAGGAGTTGCCCTTTGAAATCTTCTGTTCAGCTCTTTTACTTCACCATGTTTTTCTTTGTTTTGGCTTCTGGACACTACAGTGAAATTTTTAGAGTCTCTTCTGAGATTTCCGTTTTTCTGAGTTTAAGGGGTTCTTTTGCACTAATGATAATTGGTGACTGGAATGAGAAAGTTGGAAACAGTGAAGAAGTAATAGTTGTAAAATGTGGGCTTGGAAATAGAAATGAGACTGGAAATAAAATTATTAACTTCTGTATTTTCAATGATTTTTTCATTGCAAATACCTTTTTGAAAAGACAACAACTTTGCACATGATAGGCTGCATAGGAATCCCATTGACTACATCTGGAAGGAATCATTGGAGAAACTCAGTATCAGCAGTCAAAACTAACTGAACTCTGGGTCAGACCATCAAATACTCATCTAAAGCTCAAATTGAGGCAGAAAAAAATGAAAATAATTCCACAGGAACCAAGAAATGATCTTGAATCCATTCCATCTGGATTTCAAGATCATCTTAAGAGTAAGTTTGAAGCGTAGAACACCAGTGACCGACAACTGGATGAGTTACGAAGGATATTGTCTATAAAGAAAGCAAAAGGTCATTAAAGGAGAAAGAATTAAAACAAATGGATGTTGAAACATTTTCTTAGTTTTTGTAAACAGTGGTCTGATATGTTACTTGTCCTTTGGTGATTCTTTTACTGTACTCTTCTGTTTTGCTCTCTGGAGCATCTTTTTTAAAAAAATTTATTTTTATTATTTTTTGCATGTACCATCAAATTAGCTTTGACTGGTACAGGAGGATATTGCCCCTCCTTCTCCAGCAGAGCATCTGATGGATTTGAACAGCTCACCTCTGGGATTGCAGTGTAGCTTCTTGCCACTAGGCCACCAGAGCTCATCTGGAGCATCTTTTAAATGTATCTCTTTCATCACCAAAGGCACTTCTCCCTTTCAGGCAGAAGGTCACAAGCTATACAAGGATCTGAAGAACTTCCTTAGTGCAGTTAAAGGTGAGTAATTGCAAGGGAGGAGAATCTAGTAATTTATAGGCACTGAGCTGACTTTAGATTAAGAAGAAGAAATTGAATTGATGGAAGTAGAGTTAAGCTTTTAATAGTTAAAACTTTCCTGAAAAAAATGGGCTTCTGTATATTAAGAAGTAGTAAGTCTCCGTTTTCAGTTCAGACAAAAGCTGAATAAATTCTTACCTTGAATATTGTACTATAGAAAGGACATTTCTGCAGTCATTGAAATCCAAAGGGCATTTATGCAACTATTTGGAAGCCAGTGTGAAAAAGACAATCATATGTAGGCTTTTCATCCTTGACTCCTAGCACTTTGGGGACCTGGAAGTGTGAGTTTTCCTGCCCATCCTCATGCCTCTTTCCTCTCTGATAATCTAAACCATCTGAGCTTATACTTCAGAATTGGACCTGTGTGGTTATGCCAAGCTGCTGTTTTGGAAACTTTCTGGTAGAACTGAGTTCTGTCTTTTCAGTGATGCATGAAAGTTCAAAGAGAGTGTCAGAAACCCTACAAGAGATCTACAGCAGCGAGTGGGATGGGCAGGAGGAACTGAAGGCCATCATAGGGGTAAGGGCAGCTTGGACTTCATGTCTCCTTCAGTACTCAACCCTACCCTACCTTCCCACACCCCCACCTTCCCACACCCCCACCTCACCCTCTTTTAGCTTCTCCATCCAAGCAAATAGGAAAACAAAAGAGCCATTTCAGTAGTCCCTGGGTGAGCTGCAGATGCTACCATCATTAAGGTAAAAAATGTTATATGTGGATTCTTCTGGGTTTTTTTACCTTCCCCCCCCTCTTTAAAACCTTAAGGGAGTTTAGCCTCCAGTGTTTAACATGATACTCTGAATAGTGTGCCTCAAAAAAACCCATTTGGCTTGGTTTTGTTTTTTTTGGATTTTTACTCTAAGAAAAATTTGGATATCTACCTGGAGAACAGTTGATGGATATTTACCTGGAGAACAGAAATAGAACCCTCACCAGCCTCTGTTTTTATCCCACAGAATAACGATCTCCTTTGGGAAGACTATGAAGAGAAACTGGCTGACCAAGCTGTGAGGACCATGGAAAACTATGTAGCCCAGTTCAGTGAGATTAAGGTACTCAGTTTACATGATCATAGCTGACATATTAAGTTAAATGGTTCAAGTAATATTTGAGCTGTAAAATTAAGAATCAAGTTGGGTAGGTGGTTTAGGAGAAGGATTAAGTTTGAGAATTAGAGCAAATCCTTTACGTGATACTCTGTTACCACATCCTCACCCCTGACAAATTAATATCAAGGCACTATCTTGTGATCACCCTCGTCTAGGAGAGAATTGCCAAGCGAGGTCGGAAACTCGTGGACTATGACAGTGCCCGACACCACCTAGAGGCTGTGCAGAATGCCAAGAAGAAAGATGAAGCCAAGACCGCGAAGGTAAAGGAAAAGGAAAAAAAAAATCCCAGGAAACCTTTCCTTCTTCTTATAATAGTATCAGGTGGCTGCTAGGTCAGCCAGGGCTTAGAAAATTATAAACTCAACATCCAGTTTCCTGAAGGAAATCCTGTTTCCTCTGACAATTGGATAGTCAGAGACTTGAGGCAAAGGAAGGAGAGGCATGATTCCAAATAGGCCTGTTACTGCTGTGTGCCACTGAATGGCGACACTGCATAGCACGTTTCCTAGGCTCTCATCTTTATGGGGGCACGTGCTCAGCAGCTGGGGAGTGGAACTGCCAGCTTTTCCATTAGCAGCCAAGCAAGCACTTAACCACTGTACCACCAGGACTCTTTCTAGGTAAAAGCTTAGTATCTTAAAAAAAATGCAGAGGATGAAGGAGGGAACTCCAGCCTCATATTCAGGATTCTAGAAGATTTTCTTGTCTTTTACTTCCTAGGCAGAGGAAGAGTTCAATAAAGCCCAGATAGTGTTTGAAGAGCTGAACCAGGAGCTATTGGAAGAGCTGCCGGTTCTCTTCAACAGGTAATGATTGAGATTTAAGAAATAGCTGAACTTCTGGGTCACTGCAGACCCAGGCCACCCAGCAGCCCAAGCGTGGCATCTCATGAAAAAAGCCTTGCTCCAAGAATGGGATGTGGTCTGCCACTGGCTTACCATAGTAGCCAAGCTACTGTCTCTGTCTAAACCCTGATTTTTTTTCCTCTTTTTCATCTGCAATACAGAGATAACTATCCTTGTCTTACCAGCTTTTCTGGGCATGAAGACAAGATGCTTCTTGGATAAAAGAGATCATGGCAAGAAAACTGCCATCATCTTGCACACTAGATTTATCTGGTTTCATGCTCAGATGTGCATTGTTTTAAACAAGCCTGGTTCATGAGCATTCAGATGTACATAGAAAATAAACTGGATGATTATGTGCATTAATGAGGGTGTTAAAATGTTTTGGATAAAATTTTTCTCTATTGGAAAAAGAATCAACCGACTCGCCATGTCATTTTTTCCCCCATTGGACAAGATGATGCAATTTTAATTGAACTATTTTTTTATTTCTTACTAGTCTGTGTATGATAGAACCTTTGTAGTATATGTATTCTAAAACCTTAGTTATGTTTCTCTTTTTTTCAAGTGTATAAGCCAATCCATTTTTGTATATTCAGAGTTATAAAACATTGGTGTAATTATAGAACATTCCTATCATCCCCAAAAAGAAATTCTGTACCCATTAACTCTAACTAATAAATTATATTAATTATGTGTAAAAAGAGTTATTTCCAGTCATAGGCAAACACTGATAATCTATTTAAAGATGGAACAAATAAAAAATGCCTATTCTGGACATTTCATATAAATAAACTCATTTAATATGTATTTAAAACTTGAGTAAAAGTTTACAGAGCAAATGTGTTTTCCATTCAATCATTCATACATATTTTGTTTTTTTGACAGATTATATTTATTTATAATTATAACCCACATTATAATCATATTCCTGCTCCTTGAGTACCTTTCTGCACTTCCTTTCTAATTATATCTCTGAATTTAGATTGAATTGAAATGTAACACATTTTTAAGTATAAGCTTTCTGAATTTATCTAAAGGAGAATTCCATTAATGTATGTTGAGCTTCATAAAAGCCCAAGTATTGCATAAAGAGAAAGAATAATTACTTATTATAATAATTATTATAATTTTATGATCTTACATAAATTCTTCAAAGAACTTTCACATCTACTTCTATATTTAAAAAACTCAAATCAGATAACTTTATACAACTAGAAATTCATTGACTTTGATGACAATCTAAGCTGATAGTTTCTCCCATGATCTTCTCACAGCCAAAAGTCAGATGTATACCTAGCCACATTCTGATAAAGCCAGATTCCAGAACAACCTCAGGCTTCGAAGTGGGGTCCTTTTCTCTGAGGAGCTATGGGAGTGGCTGGCTTTGGCTTAAACTCTTGTTTTGTATTTCAAAGGGAAATTTCTTGCCCCTCACTTAACTCCTGCATATGTTTGTTGTTTTGTCTCCTGATAGTCGTATTGGCTGTTATGTGACCATCTTCCAAAACATTTCCAACCTGAGGGATGTTTTCTACAGAGAAATGAGCAAGGTAAGACACATATGACTAATTTAGTGTCCTAGGTGAGACACAGCCCTGATTTACATCATTTCATTGACTTTTGACATCACAAAATTTTTCTTTTTATCATGACAAAATATAGTACTTGATTGATTCTGTTGAGCTATGTGAAAATAAAGCTCTTTTCTTCTCCATTAACATCTAAATAAAAGAATCTACACTTCATATTCATCCTGAGTAAAGGAAGCTAGGCATATGGAAAGAGCAATTAAAATAAGGACGCAACTTGTGTAATCTCCATTTTTTGGTGTTGGAGAGCAAAGAGTGTTTAACCACAGCTTGGTTTCTTAGGTGGATAGTCTTGAATAAGTGCCTGTCAATGACAGGCAGTTATGTAGTCCTGAGATTCCAAGCTCTCCTCTATTGTAATACTAGTTATGTACATAGGCATACATATTTCTCTTCTCTATAGTTTCTTTGACTAGATCATGATTTGCCAAGTTAACATTAAAATGAGCTTTTATTCCTTGGGTCACTAAATGCTCAGCATCTGAGAGAAACTAGGACCTTGAATCACACATCAGTTAAGAACCCTGCCTTGAAAGAACTTCGAGTCTGATTCAAGAGGCAGAACTTAGGACACAGAGAAGGAAGAAAGGGTAGCTGGCAGAGCTTTAAGCACTAGTACTGAAGAGTTGAACAAGAATAGCAGTTCTGAAAAGGTGGGGAAGTGTTATTTTGAGATGCTGTTTTAGAGGAGAAAAAAGATATTCTACTGTTGGGTTTCCACCTGGCTCCACCCCCTTTTTTCTAATTGACTAGCTGAACCACAACCTGTATGAGGTAATGAGCAAACTGGAGAAGCAGCATTCCACCAAAGTCTTTGTGGTGAAGGGACTGTCGAGGTAAGTACCTTCTTGGACTTTTTTTCTGCTTTTTGTGTCTTCTGTGTGTACATATATTCAAGACCCTCTTCTTCATCCAAAATCCTGAACTTCCCTTTGGATTCCTGCGTGTATTGTTGTTTGTTATTTGTACCACACTTTCGCAACAATTCTTTGACCTTTTGGTAAATATTTCAGATATGACTAAAGGTATAAAAAATAACCATCTCCCTACCACCAAACTGTTCCAATCAACTATTACAAAGCTTCCAACATCCCTTCCCCAATAATGTTCTCCTTCTGTCTCCCACTTGAAGTACAAGGTAACCTCTGTCTTTGAAACTAATTGTTTAACATACAGTTGTTATTAGTCACTCGATATTATATTATTAATGTAAATAATATACATATATGTGTAAGTAAATAATTACATGATTAATATAGATGTAATATTAATTGCATTTACCATATTGTAAAATTGTCACCACAATCCATTTCAATTTTTTTTTTACCACTGTAAACCAAAATTCAGTATCCCTTAAGTAGTAACACCCCATTCACTGCTGATAGCCACTAAATTTTTTTGAGGGTAAAATTGTAAAAGATAGATTTCTTTAAAAGTTACATCCTCAAATGGACAAACCTCCCTCCTTGAAATAAACTTTTGTCCGTTAATTTGCCTGTTCTTGTTATGTGACGTTGAGCTGCTTGCGACTCATAGCAACCCTATGTACAACAACCCTAAAACCTGTTCTATCCTGTGTCAATCTTACTGTCTCTGACACACCTATCCGCCATTAACCCAGTCACTGAATCTATCCATCTCATCCACCCGCTCCAGCATGACGTCCGTCTCCAAGGACTGGTCCCTCCATGTAAGATGTCCGAAATATGTCACATTAAGTTTCAGAATTCTTGCCTTCAAGGAGCAGCCTGGTTTCACCCTCTCTAGAACAAACCTGTTTGTTCTCCTAACCATCCATGGTATATTCAGTACTCCTTTCCAGCACCACAGCTCAAAGGCATCTCCTTCTATCATCCTTAGTCATGGTCCAGCTTTCTGATGCATAGCAAGTAATTGCAAAGACCATGGCCTGAATCATGTGCACCTTAGTCTCCAGACTGATATTGTTGCTCTTCAGTACTTTGGAGAGGTCCCTGACAGACGGCTTTCCCAGTGCAATTCATCTTTTAATTTCCTGGCTGCTGGTACCAAGAGTGTTGATTGTGGAGCCAAGCAAATTAAAGCTGTTAACAATCTCCGTTTCTTCAGTGTCTGTCATGATGCTGCCAACCAGCCCAGTGGAGAGAGTTTTTGTTATGTTGAGCTTCATCCTGGAAACAAACAGATTCATCCTGGAGACAGTTAAACCAAGCTACTCCTTGGAGGCAAGGATTCTGGGGCTTCGTCTGGCATACTTTGGGCATGTTGCAAGGAGGAACAGGTCCTTGGAGAGGGACATCATGCTTGGGAGGGTGGAGGGTCAGCGCAAGAGGGGAAGACCCTCTATGAGATGGATTGATTCAGTGACTGGGGTAATCGGAATGGCTGTGTCAGAGGCAGTGCGATTGGCACAGGATAGAGCAGGGTTTAGGGCTGTTGTACATAGGGTCGCTATGAGTTGCAAACGACTCAATGGCACATAACAACAACAACAACATATTGAGCTTCAATCTATATTTAAGGCTACAGTCCTTGACCTTCTGTAGCAAGTGCTTCATTGAGGTCCTCCTCAGTTTCAGCAACCATTGTTGTGTCATCTGCATAACACAGATTGTAGAGTCTTCCTCCAATCCTGATGCCACATTTCTCCTCCTGGATAATCTGTTCTGCATATAGATTGAAAAGGTATAGAGATAGGACATATGCCTGGCATACACCTTTCTGGATTTTGAACCATGCAGTGTTTCCTTGCTCTGTTTGATGACTACCTCCTGGTCCGAGTATAGTTTTCGCATAAGCACTGTCAGGTGGTCTGGAATTCCCATTCTTTTTAGAGTCATCCACAGTTTGTTGTGATCCACACAGTCAAATACCTTTGCATAGTCAGTCAAACACAGATATTTTACAGAAATGGGATCATAAAATATTTTTCCTACCCTCCTTTTCTTGGCGGGGACTAGGTGTGCCATCCTGGCCCCTGTTATGTACAGAGGCAAAGGGAGAGGGCTCCAGCCCCCTCAGTGCCATGACTTTGGTGCCAATGGTTTCCTGTCTGTTGGTTCTATCCTCAAGCGCTAAGACAAAGGAGAGGAAAAATTAAGTATTTGTTCCAGACTTAGAGGGATCTTGACGGTCATCTTTCTTAGTAGTACTGAACCCATCTGCCACATTTGGAAGTAGGAGTGGCATCCACTTCCTAAACAACATGCCTCTGGAAACTCTATGAACTTTGAGAAATGACAATAGTTATAGAAAGGCTTCAGGCCTTTTGTTCATAGGTCGCTATGAGTTGGGCTCAACTCCATGGCAGTCAACAATAACAACAGATGGGTGGGGGAGTGAGGAAAATGGCAAGAAGTTGTTCAAATTTGTATTCAAATTTTGTAAATAAACTAGTAGGGGGAAAATTTTTCCTTTTGTATCTGAATTATTTCATTCAGCATAGTGTTTTCAGGGTTTATCCATATCCTCATATGTCTCAGAACTTCACTTTTCTTTATGTCTGAATAATTCAGTGTATGGGTCTAAACTTTGTTTATCCATTCATCTGTGCCCCACCCAGAGACTTGATGGATACTCAGTTGTTTCCACCTTGTGGCTACTGTAAATAATGCTGCCATGATAATTAGTATACAAGTACCTTTTTTTTTTCAGTCTTGCTTTCCATTTTTTTTAGCTATATGCTAGAAGTGAAATTGTTAGGTCATATGTTAATTCTGTGTTTAACTTTTTTAAGAACTTGCAAACCATTTTAAATTCCCACTAACAATGCATGAAGGCTCTAATTTCTTCACATTCTCACCAACACGTGTTATTTTCCATTTTTTTGATACTATCCCAGTGAGTGTGAGGTGATACTGTAATTTTTTTACCCTAAATAATTAAAGACGCTGAATGTCTTTTAATCTGTGTATCATGTTTAGAAAAATATTTATTCAAATTCTCTGCCCATTTTTAAAAAGGGTTGTTTGTCATTTTGTTGTTTAGTAATAATACTTCTCTATGTAGTCTAGATATTAAATTAAAACCTTATCATATGAGGTGTTATTGTTATATGCCATCAAGTTGGACCGACTCATAGCTGGTTCCTCTGAAAAGCCCCCAGAGGGTTTTCAGAAGCAGTAAATTTCACAGAAGGAGATTACCCATCTTTCTACCTCTGAGCAACTAGTGGACTTGAACTGAGTGCCTTCTAGTTGGCAGCACAACTACTTATCCATTTGGCCACCAGAGATCCCTTATCATATATGGAGTAACCATTATCTTGAATTTAATATTTACTCTTTCCGTGTATATCTCCTTTCTTCTACTCTGAAATAATGTTTTGCCTCCTTGGACCTTTGTTTACATAATTTGAATTACACTGTGTATATTCTTTCGTAATTGCTTTTGTTCATCTAGTGCTACTTTTGAGGTTTATCTTTGTTGCTACATGCTGCTAGCACTAATCTTTCCTGTCTGTAGCTAATAGTGCTGTTGTCTACTTCACAATTATTCTGTCCTCCTGCTGGTGGGAGCTTAAGTCTTTTACTCTCACAAATAATGTTTCAATAGCTATATTTTACATTTCTCTGTGAGTCTCTAGAATGTTTACTGTGAGCTGTTACTGTCATGTACTGAGCTGTTACTGTCATGTGCCTTTGAATCAGAGCCAACTTAGAGCTGATCTTGCAGCAGGTTTTCAGAGGTAGTACATAGCAGGGGAGGAGAGTGCAGGTGCAGCAGCTGGGGGATTTGAAGCTCATGCTTTTGGGATGGGATTGCCATGCTCCATTAGACTGTGAGTATGATTGCTAAGTCTCAGGGCTTGTGCAGTGGGCCTTGTTCAGCCGTCCAGGAGAGCATAGCCAAACCTGCTGCTGTGTAGTCGTTGCCAACTCATGACAATCCCAAAATGGCTCCACTGGGTTTTCTTGGCTCTGTTTTTTGTTTGGTTTGTTTTGTTTTTTTTCTCTTTACTTACCTGGTACTGGAACCAAACTAGAAAGCCGCAGCACATGAGCCACCGGGCTCTGCTCTTACTGACTTCTACCTGGTACCGTACCGGTAATGGACTGAACCAGAAAGCCGTGGCATGTGAGCCTCCGTGCTCTACCAGTGAGCTACATCTCCAGGCCCTTGGCTCTGTTTTTAGTAGAAGCAAGATCACGAAACCTTGCTTTTGTAGTACCAATAAGTGGGTTCATACCATCAACCTTTAGATTAGCAGTCACACACAAGCTGTGTTATTTGGTTAAATTGTTCTCCAGAGTAATTTTCTGGAGTTACAACCTACCAATAGTGAATTAGAGCCTCCATTGTCCCCCATTCTTGCTGCACTTGTGATGATGCCGGACTTCTTTTCTTTTTTTCTTTTTTTTTTTATGTCAGACTTCTTAATTCTTGCAAGCCAGTAGGTATGAACTGGAATATTTTACAGTTTTAGTTTATCTTCCCAGTATTGTTAGCTTAAGCATCTTTTCATGATTGACCATTCAAAGTTCCGGTCCTTTGAATTGCTTATTTGTTAATTTTTCACTTTTAATTGGATTGTTGTTTTTGTTATGTGCCATCGAATCACCAGTGACTCATAGTGACCCTATATACAGAAGCTCTGAAACCTGCCCTGTCCTGAGCCAGTCTCATTCATTCTGACACGCCAGCCCTCATTGCCCCAGTTACTGTATCAGTCTATCTCATCCAGGGTCTTCCTCTCTGGTGCTGTCCCCCCACCCTTCTAGCATGATGTCCTTCACCAAGAACTGGTCCCTCCTGGCCATGTGCCCAAGTATGTGAGATGGAGCATCAAAATCCTAGCCTCCAGGGAGAAACTTGTTTTCACCCTCTCCAAGTCAGACCTATTTGTCGTCTTGGCAGTTCATGGTATGTTCAAGACTCTTCCCTAGCACCACAGTTCGAAAGCATCAATTCTTCTTCTGTCATCCTTAGTTGTTGTCCAGCTTTCTAATGCATAGCAACTTAACCCTCTTTTGTAATTGATTTGTGTGTGTGTGTTTTTTGTATACCACATGTACTAATCCTTTGGTCATATGCATTGCAAAGGTCCTTCTCCAGTATGTTATGGCTGTCTTTCTACTTTTTTTATATTGTCCCTTATCTTCATGTGTTCTCCATGCTTCCCACCTATGTCAGCATCTCATTAGGGTCTTAAAATATTATCTTTTTATCATTTGAAGGCTTCTGAAGAAATTTTATTAAACTCCTTCTATGCACAAGGTTGTTTTGTTTTGTTTTGTTTTAAATTAATTTTAATGAAAGTTTACAGAGACAAACAGTTCTCTCCTTCATCTGTTTCAATGCAATATACATCATTCCTCCCCTCCTTTTATGCCTTCCCTCAACCCCAATGTCAGTCCCGTTTTACAACAGTGGCCCTATGCAATATTTGTCCTTTTTTGACTGAGATATTTCACTCAGCATAATGTCCTCCAGGGTCACCTATTTTGAATAATATTGCATGAGGTCTTTGTTCTTCAATGCTGCATAGTATTCCATTGTGTGAATATACCATAACTTCTCTTATCCATTCATTTGTTGATGGGCACTTGGGTTGTTTCCAACTCTTTGCTATTGCAAACAAAGACACAATAAATATGGTGTGCTTTATGCACAAGGTTTCATGGTGGATGATACAGAAATCTTGCCCTTTCTCTAAAATAATTTGTTGTTGTTGTTGCTATGTGCCATCAAGTCGCCTGCGACTCAGTGACCCCAGTGTACAACAGCCCTAAACCCTGCTCTATCCTGTGCCGATCTTATTGTCTCTGACACACCAAAGTTGGGATAATAGATGGCTGCATAACAAGACAAAAAACTAATAAGTTTATGTATAACACGGACCTAATGAACTCAGTAGGAGCTCCAGAGAGGTGAGTAATCAGCTCAATGCAAATGGTCAGTAAAGAATTCAAGGAGTTCCCTTTAGAGTAGTGAGAGAAGATCTTCACCCTGAAACCCACAGCGTCCCTTTTCAGCAGGAAGTAGCTAAGAGAATACGCCATCCCCTTTTCCTTATGACTCAGGGTGAAGTCTCTCTCAGGGAGGAGTGATAGGGAATGGCAAAGGACACACTGACAAAGAAGATTAATCAGAACTGGCTTTGACAAGCACTGTGGCATTTGGACAAGAACAAACTGGGAGGAGGGTAGAGAGAATAGTGCAACAATGAATGAATGGACACCCAAAATCTCTGTAAATGTTTATGAAAATTAATAAAATATAGAAATAAATAAATAAATAAATGAGCATTTAATTAATGGAAAAAAAAGAATTCAAGGAGTTGATGACACTGAATATGGAACTTGAAGGAAAACTAGGCCTCACCTTTGTACCACTCATTTAGCAATTGTTTGTCTTTGTCTCATTGCGGTCGAGTGAGAACCTGCCGATAACTGACTTTCCAGCAGGTTGCCAAGGCTGTAAATCGCCCTGGAAGAGGTTGCCCATCTTTCTCCTGAGAAGCTGAGGGTAGGTTCAGACCTCGAGAAGATGCACCCTTTGGATTAGCAATGTAGCTCCCTAGAGACTGTGCCACCAAAGCTCCCTTCACAGTTGATTACAGACTGTTAAGAAGAACTACTAAAGGAGCGTTGTAGAGTTTCTTCCTTAATTCTTTGCTACAAAAGCTCCATTTCTCTTACTCCCGTCAGTGAAAGCCAGAGTTCTGACTGTCCATTCTGCCCCACTTAACCATCACTTAGAATAAACTGCCCCAAAAACTTAACAGGAAAATTCAGCCTTGTTTATGCTCTGTGTTGAGCCTTAGCTCCTAGAATGGCAGGACTGGAAAGAACCTCCATCATGCAGCTTACCGCACCTCAGAAACCCACACAGGGCAGCAGATGTTTCTCCTTACCTTTCCCCCCTGTGGCCTGTTCTTTTTCCCAGAAAATAAGCCATAGTTTGGTACCTCGAGAGTAAGTATTTGTGAGTTTCTCAATCAGTTGGTAAATCAAATATAAGAGGGATTCAAAGCAGCAAAAAGGGATTGAATCCAAGCTGATAATGGCTTTAAGGGTATCTAGCACATAGTATATACTTGATAAAGGTTAGTAATGCCACTTATTAATCCTTTCCACACAGAAAGTACTTGTTCTATTTTGCTGAGTCTCTCTCTTTTATCTTTAAAGATTTTTGTATAATTGAGGTCATGATATAGGTAAAATTTTCCGATCCTTTTTCACTTCACCTCTGTGGGATACTGTAATTACAGTGTTATATATCATTTTTAACATCATTTTATTGTACTTGGTTATATACATGGATCCTAATTTTGTTTTGGATGTCTACAGTGCTTCTAGATTCCAGTGCTTTTAACCTGATACCCTTCCTTTTTCAGCAACAACAGACGTTCTTTAGTCATCTCTCCCCCAGTTCGAACATCTGCAGCCCCTGGTTCTCTCACCTCGCCCACCAGTCCTTCTGCATTTTCCTTGAAGAATGACAGGGAATCCACCTCAACAGCTGAAGAAGAGCTGGCACATGATCCAGCCCAGGGAGAAGACACCTTAAAAGATGAAGGAATAGAGGCAGAAGGGGCTGAAGCCAGCTCCTCTGAGGAAGAGGAACCCCTGCCAGCTTGCAATGGCCCGACCCAAACCCAGCCCTCTCCAACCACCGAGGGTGATGAGTCGCAGGAGGAAGTATTCTCTAGCTCCCCAGGGCCTCCATCACCAAGCCAAGCCAAGACCCCTTCAGAACAGCCTTTATCATCTCCTCCAGAAGCAGTTCTCCAAACCCACGCCGTAGGTGAAGAAACTGAACAGTCAAAGAAGAGAGCCTCTCTCTCCAGAAACTCCACACCCCCTAGTAGGCCTCCTCCACCAAGAGCCTCTACTGGCCACAGGCTTTCCTCAGGGACCATGCCTTCCAGCCCTCCAGCCTCTGAAGATGGTTCACCCACTACCCCTAAGGCCTGCCTGGAGGCTGAGACTCCAAGTCCTGGAGCATCCATACAGCCATCTCCTGACCCAGAGCCACCAAAGAAGCCAGAAAGAACTCCTGAGAACAGAGAAGAGGAACCCACTCGTGATCTGAACCCAAAAGAACTTTGCACTTCTCCTGCTCTAATGATCTCTCAGGTAAGAATAGATCAGGTTGGATTTTTACTCTCTCTTTACAACTTCCATCTTTGAAAGATCATGAGTTCAAACCCACAAGTGGCTTCTTGGGAGAAAATACCTGGCAGTCTGCTTCTATAAGGATTATAGTCTAGAAGACTTAAGGAACAGTTCTCCTCTGTCCTGGTAACTATGAGTCAACAACTCCCAACACAATAGGTCCAAAGATAACCCTGAATACTTTTTTCTTTCCAGGACTGGGGATGATTTTATAGCAACTAACTTTATAATCTATATTTAGGATAATTGACTTTTGCAGAAAGCGACATCTAATATTTTTGTATGAAGCTTTTTATTCATTTATTTCGTTAGCTTAGATTTCTGGGTGTTCCCAGTATAAAGAACTGATAACTGGCATCCTACCTCTTCTGATAAGATATAAGGATATTTGTTTGTCTTGCTTGTGGCTGTGATAAAAAGACCATGAGTCATTTTGTTTTATAACATAGGTTACATTCCCCATATTTGTCTCATCATTCTTTCCATTATCTCTGTGATTCCTGTTTCCATTCTTCCCTCCACTGGGTCCCTCCCTACCTGCTAAGTTTTATCATGGGCACTGCTGCCCTTGTGAGCCTGTGTGATCCATTGCTCTAAGGACTAAGTGCCTGCCTGGTGTTACTGTTCACCTTAGATCCCTCTAGTGTTTGACTCTTAAATTGAGTTCAGTTCCAGGCTCACAGGTGGCTAAGGACCATAGACAGTCTTCATCAGATTAACACTACTAGGATTTTGAGTTTTGTTCTGTGTTTATCTCACACTTTATCCAGGACCCTGAACAGTCATCCCTTTCAGAGTGATTAGCAGTGGCAACCAGGCACTATCTAGTTTTTCTGATCTCAAGAGCATGAAAATTGAGGGTGCTAATGTCTCTTGGTGCTTTTTGTTGTTGTTGTTATGTGCCATCAAGTCGCCTGTGACTCATAGCCACTCTATGTACAATAGCTCTGAAGCCTGCCTTATCCTGAGCCAGTTCTCACTGACTCTGATACACCTACCCACATTGCGTAGTTACTGTATCATTCCATCTCATTCAGGGTCTTCCTTTCTTACGCTGTCCTTACAACCTTCCAAGCATGATGTCCTTCTCCAAGGATCAGTTCCTCCTGGCTACATACCCAAAGTATGTGATACAGAGCCTCAAAATCCTACCCTCCAAGGAGAAACTTGGTTTCACCCTCTCCAAGACAGACCTGTTTGTTTTGTTTGATATGTTCAAGATTCTTCTCCAGCACCACAACTGACAGGCATCAATTCTTCTTCCATCCTCCTTAGTTATTACCCAGCTCTGAGCAAAGCAAGTACTTGTGAAGACCATGGACTGGGATCAGGTGCACCTTCATCTCTAGACTGACATCTTGGTGCTGTGGAGTAATTATTTTAGTGTACCTTTGATTTTCTTCACTCTTTGCTCCAGAGAGAAACCAATGGTTACTCTTTAGCTGGCCATTGGTAAGCTTCTTTTAAGTCTCCAGCACAACTCACCAATATACATAAGATGTATAACATTGTCATTTTATATAATGCTATGCAAGTTGACTTTGAAGTCCCCCAAGACAGGGAAGCCCTCAATGCCGATGACCCATTCCCTCAGAGTGTTTGGTTATGACTGATAATTTATTTGGCACTGTTATACACATGGATATATTTAGAGCACATACAGATATTCATGATGAAATACTATCAGCCAGACCTGTGCATGATCATGGGTATACTTTTATACTTGCCCACGTCTGATCGTCTTGTCTATCTGCCTGTGTACTATTTGTAGGTTAATGTCCGTTACTGATAATGTAGAGTCATATTGTTACCTGTAGCTTGTGAGCACCTCTTTACATCTTCCTTTTCTTTGTTGTTGTTGTTGCATGCTGTCAAGTCAGAACCAACTCATAGCTGACCCTCCAGCAGGTTTTTCAGAGACAGTTAACCACACAGGAAAAGATTGCCCACCCTCCTCTCACTGAGCGGCTTGTGCGTTCAAACTCTGTTTTGGGGATTGCAGCACAATTTCGTATCACTAGAGCTCCTTTTCTTTAGTCGTATCCTAATCAGTCCCGTTTTTATTTAGCTGTTTCCTTCTTCCAGCAATGTAATTTACTAGAGAAAAATTAAGTAAGGGAGGGCACAGTGAGTGGGAGATGGGTTGCAGTTTTAAAAAGGGTGGTCAGAGAAGATGGCTTTCAGGCAGTGAAAGTAGGAGAAGATCAGTGTCCTAACTGAAGGTTGACCAGGTGCTTTCTGAGGGGAGATAACACAGACAGAGGCTGATAGGCCAAGTGTGATGGTTTTGACCTATCTTCTTTGACATTTTCTATTTTGACCCACAGGATTTTTTGGAGCCTAGTGAGCCAGTGAAGATGGAAGACAAGGAAGAGAACAATGAGCTTATCCCAGCTGACTCCCCAGAGGTAGTAAAATCCTAGTTGTTAACACTGTTATACCGAGTCTGGACTCACATGTTGCACTAAGAGCTCTAACAGGACAAGATAGACAATTTCTCCTGACTAGTTTCTAACCTGCAGTGGATCCTCTGAGAGAGCTACTCAGGGCATATGACCAATGAGTGAGCACAGGGTAAATGCAGGATTTTGAGCAGGTAAAATTTTGCTGCTTATCAATTTTCTACACTGAAAACACAAAGTCAGCGCTATGGAGAAGGCCAGATTAATTTCATTTTGACATTATGACAGTTTTAATATGGAAACATCAATAGATTGACCTCTTCTTAGCTCTGGTGAATATTTAAAAAGTTGGCATTCTTGAAGTAATGTGATAATAGGGACCAGGATACTCTCTGACCATTCAGAGAAAAAATCTGGTAGCACTTACTTCTCTGGAAAAAGAGGTATAGGGCACAACCTCTTATCCTGTATTTGAAATGCACCTTTCCCCACTCCCCACCCTCTCCTGTGGTCTTCGCTAAGGAGTCCTTTTTTCCCCTCTGTAGAATTAAGAAACTGGACCATGGGAGAGTCTGGCCTATCAATACCACCAATGCTCTGAAATGTGTATCCTGCAAAATACACTTACTTCACTCACAGACACATAAAAAATGATATTTTTCCTCAGAGTTATGAATGCTTACATGTACTAAAATGGATAAATATTAATTTAATTAGGGGAAAATAACTATTCTTGCACAGCATTTGAATAATCTGAGAATTTAGATTTTTAAAAGTTTTGGGGAAATTACCTTAATCCTTTAAAGGATAAACCACAGAATTTTAAGTGTCTGTCACACTGTTAGAAATAGGTTCTGCTATTAAAAAAATTCATTTAGGAAGAATGTAGACGGCATCTTAATTTTTAAAAAAAATTAATTCCAAAAATTAGAGTTAATAGGATTCCCCCCCCCCCAACCCAACATAGCAGTTCCCAGACATGGCTTTCCACACCTTTGGTTTCTATATCTGAACCTAGCACTTTTTCCAAAGAAACAATTATACCACTGGATTATCCTAACTGTATGCATGTGAGAGCTATAGTTCCTTCTTGAGGATAGCTAGTCTAAAAGTGGTAGGTAGTGGGTTTACAACCTATGATTTTGCCTTACTATACTCCCACAAAGATAGATAGACCTGCAGAGAACCATGACACACAAATTGTTACATGGCATCTGATCATGAAAATGACACTAGAATCCAAAGCCTTGGTTTCCTGTCCCAGCAACCCTTGGTTTCATTTGTAATATAAATAGCAGTAAAGCTTTCCTGGGTGCCTTCACCCTCTAGTGCAACAACATTGTTTTTTTGCTCTCTGGATTGTGTATGGATCCATGTAAAGGGTACAACAGAGAAGATCCTTCTTTTTTATTAATTTTAATAGACATTTACAGAGTTTTGGATTTCCATTCATTCATTGCTGCACTTTTCTCCCTGCCCACCCCTCCCCACCAGTTTGCTCCCCTCTCCGAAAAGAAAAAAGAAAAATTCCTTCATTAGTATACAATTCCCCCATCCCTTCCTCCCCACCCCCGACCCCGAGTACACTTCTCTATGCAACCTTAATTCTGGATTCCTGTGCTAACCATAATACTCAATCATATATCACCTCTAATCTGTTCTTTCCCTCATCTGTTTCAATATAATTACATAATTTATCCAGTTTTTTCTGTCATACCCCAACCCTGATGTCAGTCCCATTCTACAACAGTGGCACCATGCAGTATTTGTCCTTTTGTGACTGAGATACTTCATTCAGCATAATGTCCTCCAGGGTCACCCATTTTGAATAATATTGCATGAGTTCCTTGTTTTTCAATGCGGCGTAGTATTCCATTGTGTGAATATACCACAGCTTCTCTATCCATTCGTTTGTTGATGGGACAGAGAAGATCCTTCTTAAGTTGAGAGATGGGAAGGAGACTGAGCTACCTCTCACTGGCAGAACTCTTCTTTTCACAGACCCAGGACGTTCAGCTTCAAGTCTCTGAGGTTGCAGGAGAGAGCAGCATCCCAGCACCTGAGCCTCAAGAAGAGGTGAGAGAACATGCAGGCAGGCAGAGAATAGAGTAGGCAGCAAGATTGAGATTCCTCAAGAAGTGAATAAATAACATCTGCAACAAAGGCATTACGATAAGCCCAAAAACCAGTTCCAGGAGTGGCATTCCATGAAATAGAATTTGGTAGAAACAAATTGAGTTTTACTCTCTTGAGAGTGATTGATAGGAGGGCAGGTCATTACCTAATGTAGTCTGTATTTGTTTTCCAGGTATCTACAAGTCAGGACGAACAACTCTGAAGAGGAATTGCCAAGACTCCTCCACACATATCTCCCCAGAGAAGTTCCCTAGCTAGGCCTTTCAAGTTATGGGGTGGCCAGAGGCTGGAGGTCAGAGGGACTAATGTCTCAATTCTCAGCTCATGTATAGTATGAATGTTGGAGGCAAAGAAACATACAGCCTTATGGGAGGGAGAGAGGCAGGATTAGGAGAAGAGAATGTTAGGCTCAGGGATATTTAACTCAGGCTTTGGAATTGTTTAAGTAGTAGGACTTTATATATATATATGTATTCATTAAAATGAACTGTAATGACTATTAAGCATACACACCTGTAGGTATACTTGTCCCTATAGAAACATATAACCACACATGTTCAGAGAATGATGAACAAATCTGTCTTTGATTTACCGCTCATTTCACAAGACTTAAAGCTGGAGGAGGGATAAAAAACCAACCCAAGTTTTTTCCAGATGCCTAAATAAAATGGGATGCTGACTATACATGGATTTTTTGTTTGACAGTGTGAGGTACTCCAACCCAGATCCTGTTCCTCACTTGGGCAAGGTTCTTGACTTCACGTTCAGAAATATTTAGTCCTGTGTCAGACCCTCATCTCATCCTACCTCCTGCCTGTGAAGTCTTTGATGATGCGAACACCACAAACTCCCCTTTGCAGTCTAGGTGGTTTACAGCATAATCATCCTCCCCGACCTGGAAAGGGATCACATTTTGGAGTCATGTCTATTATACAACCTGGTATGTGATGTGGGAAAAGGATGAAGGAAGAAATGGAATTCCAAGGAAAGAGAAAGGACAAAAGGATAATACAGTGAAAATAGTGCAGACTTGGGAGTCAGAAATAGTGGATTAAAGCCCTGTCATTTGCTTACTATAGAAATCTTTGTGAAAATATTGAAACCTTAATTTTAAATTCCTGTCAGGCATTCATAGGCACATGGTAATCCACCTTGCTCTTATTTCTAGGGATGTTAGGTGATGATGACACCGTTCAATCATTCAGTGAGCTTTTATTGAACACTAAGGGTTGTACTGGAGTGAGGAGGGATAAGAGCTTTATGTAGAAAACAAGTGGAGTACATAACAGAAGGGGCAGAATTTATTGGTGGGCTAGAAGAGAGACTTGATGGAGACAGAGATGTTAAGGAATTTGAGATCACTAAAAGACTAGAATTTGATGGTGCCATTTCCTGAAATGATTGCTCCAGAAGGAATTGCATTATATAGGGATTCTTTGGTTGCTGGCAACTAACTGATATTAAGCAATAAAGGGGATTGTTAGAAGAGATTATGCAGTTTACAGAACTGAAAGAATAGCCCACAGGAACGGCAGTCCCGGGCTGTCTGCTGCGGGGATGCAGGACTACCTCTCCAGTCACTCCCAATGGAAACCGCTTTGTTGTGTTCTTACCAAATCCAGATTCCCTTAACAAAGAATCTAAGTGGGCCATCTTGGATCTTGGGCTATGTATCTGTCTGTGGCCAGGGAAATGGAGAGCTGTGATCTGTGCTGTTACCAGGGTGGGGAAGACATGTTGGCACCGACAGCAAGAGGTAGACCAGTGGTTGGAGTGAAGGAAAGAGGAAGATGAATTATAAAGGGACACAAGGAAATTTGGGAGGTGATAGAAATTTTCATTATTTGGTTGTGGTAATAACTTTAAATGGGAATATATCTTTATCAAAACTTATCAGTTGTATGCAAATGTGTACAGCTTGTTGTACATCATTCATGCTCTGACATTTAAAGCTATAGAAGCAAACCAAAGGTGTCCGCTATAAGCATTGGACATAGAACTTCTCAGTATATAGGGTCATTAAACCCAAACCAAACCCCTTTGATTGATTCCAACTCACAGCAACCTCCTAGGACAAGTCAAATTGCCCCCTAGAGCTTCCAAGGCTATAATCTTTACGATGGTAGACTGTCACATCTCCCTCAGACCAGCTCTTGGGTTCAAACCACCAACCTCTCAGCAGCAAGGTTAACAGCCAGGGGTTCACCTCTGTGGCACCACTCATAGGTATGGAGAAGATATGATAAAAGACTGTTTTCAGTAGGGAACGGGAAATTCGTGTCTGTATTTTGGAGACATTATCTAAAATTCTGCAAACTTTTCTTTAAAACCTTTCAAAAGACATCTGTGTGCAGCAGTAATAGAAGGTTACATGCCTCTGATAGGAGCATTACTTTTTTTTTCTATAATTTTATTAATTTTCATAAACATTTACAGAGATTTTGGGCTTCCACTCATTCATTGTTGCACTATTCTCTCTACCCTCCTCCCAGTTTGTTCTTGTCCAAATGCCACAGTGCTTGTCAAAGCCAGTTCTGATTAATCTTCTTTGTCAGTGTGTCCTTTGCCATTCCCTATCACTCCTCCCTGAGAGAGACTTCACCCTGAGTCATAAGGAAAAGGGGATGGCATATTCTCTTAGCTACTTCCTGCTGAAAAGGGACGCTGTGGGTTTCAGGGTGAAGATCTTCTCTCACTACTCTAAAGGGCCCCTTTGGCAGTAGGAAACACATAGACTATTATGGAGATTGATTTTGGAATTTAGATGCACTCTTATTGATTATGCTTGGCTGTACATGTTCATATCCTTGAAGATGTATCATGGGGGTGTTGCAACCGGCCTTTCTCCTGCCAGGTAGGAGCATTACTTTTCAAAACATAAAACTCTCAGAGTCACTCCTGAGAGCCATATGCAAATGTCATAGATTGAATTGTGCACCAACCCCACCCCAGCCCAAAATAAGTGCTGTAAATCCTAAACTCCTCTGGTTATAAAGCCATTTGGGAGCGGGTGGATTAATGTTAATGAGGTAAGGTTAGTATATCAAGAGTCAATCTATTTTTGTTGCTGTTGTTATTGTTAACTTTTTACTGTGACTTGAGGGAGCTCTAGTGGTCTCTTGGTAAGAAACTGCATCCCAAAATTAGGCAGTTCCAACCAACCAGCTCCTCTGAGACAGAAGGATAGGCAGTCTCCTCCCAAGCAACTTACTGCCTCATAAAACCCATTGGAAGGTCAGCGGTGGGTTGATTCTGACTTAATGGCACACAACAATAACAGCAACAGGGATTTCAGTGAGAGTTCACAGAGCAAATTGGTTTTGCATTTAGCAACTCATATACCACTTTATTGCACTCCCCACAGTATGCATACAGCATTCTTCCCTGCTTTAGCTGGGTTCACCTTCTCCAGTCACCTCTTTATTTCCTTCCTGGGAATATACTGCTCTTTTTAAAAAAAAATTTAATTTTTTTATATTACTCTGATTTATGAATACATTGTTTCATATTGCTCTTGATCTCATGTGATTGATTATTCTAAGGAATGAGTTTCTCACTGGTGGTAATGTTCTCCTTAAGTGTCTGGTTTTTTGCTAAAAGTTGAGCCACTGGAGTGAGTTCAGTTCTAGGCTTGAAGGGTGTCTAAGGGCCATAGTCAGACTAATAAGTCCAATACCTTTTATGATTTTTAGTTTTGTTCCACAATTTTCTCTCACACTATCCAAGACCTACTTTGGGATCTCTTTATGAATGGTCAGTAGTGGTAGCAGAGCACCAGTTCTTCTGTCTCAGCATTGTGGAAGGTGAAGTTCATTCACATGGTCTTTTAGTCTTTTGAATTAGTTGTTTCTATATCTACAAGTTGAGTCATAGTTGACACAGCAGCACATAAAATGTTTATCTTTTATTTTATTCTCTCTTTTTTAGGCAGGGAGAGACCCTTAATTATACCTTGCATGGCCATTCACAAGCATTTAAGACCCAGTTGTTACTCATCAAAGTAGAATGTGGAATACTATCTTTGCAGACTGTTGTTGCCATCAGGTCAGTTCCAACTCCTGGTAGCTCTGTGGACAACAGATGACTCAGTCCTGAGCCATGCACTTAATATTTGAGCCTTTTGTAGACACTGTGCTAACCCATCCCATCAAGGATTTCCTCTTTTTCATTGACTGTTTTACTAAGCAAGATGTTTTTCAGAGACTGGACCCTCCTGGTAACAAGTCTCACCATCTTTGCTTCTAAGAAGCAGCCAGACCGTGTATCTCTCAAAACATATTTGTTTATTCTCTTGGCAGTCCATTATATATCCAGTATTCTTCAGCATAATTTGATGGTATCAACTTTTTTTTTGGTCTTCTTTAGCCATTGTCCAGCTTTGCATGGATATGAAACAATTGAACATGACTTGGGCCCAGTATACCTCAAGTGACATCTTTTTAACACTTTAAAGAAATCATTGGCAGAAGATATACCTAATGTGATGCACCCTTTGATTTCTTGACTACTACAGCCTTGGCAGTGATTATGGATCCAAGTAAAAAAATTCTGGACTAAATCAGTCTTTTCTCCATTTTATCCTTTGTGAACTGTGGTTTGTCAGTTGTACTGCTGTCCCCCGTCCCCCCCCCCCGAGGCCCTCAAATCCAGCAACTAAGGTCTAAATTATATGGTATGTCTAAGAAGTTTTCGTAACTCTGTCCCCTTTGTGCTCTACTCTATTCCATGGATTTGTCTGCAGCACATTGTTGTTGTGGTGGTGGTGTTGTTGTTGTTATGGGCCATCGAGTTGCTTGTGACTCATAGTGACCTTAAGTTCAACAGCCCTAAACTCTGCTCTGTCCTGTGCCAATTGCACTGTCTCCGATATACCCATCCCGATTACCCCAGTCACTGAATCAATTCACCTCATAGAGGGCCTTCATCTCCTGTGCTTCTCCACCCTCCCAAGTATGATGTCCCTCTCCAAGCACTTCTCCCTCCTTACAACATGTCCAAAGTATGTCAGACGATGCCTCAGAATCCTTGTCTCCAAGGAGCCACCCGGTTTAACCCTCTACAGGATGAACCTGTTTGTTTTCCTAGCAGTCCATGGTACATTCAATACTCTTCTCCAGCACCACAGCTCAAAGGCATTAATTCTTCTATTCTGCCTAGTCATTGTCCAACTCTCTGATGCATAACAAGTGATTGCAAAGACCT